AAAAAAAAATTACCTATTGAACAAGTTCAGAAATACAGGAAACAAGTCAATATACAAAAATCTATTTTACTGCTACCTGCTACAAATAAACAGGAATCAAATACTGATACACACCATAACATAAATGAATCTTGAAAACATGTTAAGTGAAAGAAGGCAGTCACAAAAGCCCACACATTACATATTACATGATTTCAGTTATGAAATCATGATTTCTGGATCTATGAAATAGATCCAGAATAGCAAAAAAGTAGTTCTAGATAGTTGGGATAATCCCTAAGCAGCAGGGAGATTTATTTGTGAGGTAATGAAAACATTATAAAAGTATCTATCTTCAACTGTATACTTTAAATGGATGAATGAGATATATGTACATATATAAATATATATGTACACACACACACACCAATACAACAATAAAACTTTCTTCAAAAAAGATGTTAGCAAAGATGTGAAGGAACTGAAAACCTCATATACTACTGATAAGAATATAAAATTCTGCAGTTGCTATAGAAAATATTTTGGCAAAATCAGGCAAGAAAAAGACATAAAAGCATCCAAATAAGGAAAGAGGTAAAGCTATCATTATTTGCTGATGATATACAATATATAGCAAGAACACTTAAAAATGCATGAAAAAAAATCTCTTATTTTAAATTTTTCCTTGTCCTTGTATAGTTCCTTCTCTTCCTTTGTTAGGGTAACTCCCAGGTATTTAATTTTTTTGTATCTAAAACAGACAACAGACCAACAAAATCAAACAGAAAGTCCAGAAATTAAAACCACAAATATATGGTCAACTAATCTGTGACAAAGGAGCAAAGAATATACACTGGAACAAGAAAAAACTCTTCAATAAATGGTACTGGGAAAACTGGACTGCGACATACAAAAGAATGAAACTAGACTACTATTTCACACCACATACAAAAATCAACTCAAAATGGGTAAAAGACTTGGCTGCAAGACCAGAAACCATAACATATAGAGAAGAAAAAAAAAATCCATGACATAACTTCAGAAATATCTTTAAAGACTCATCTCCAGAAGCTCGGAAAATAAAGGAGAATATAAACAACTGGGACATCTAGGGAAATAGCTTTTAGAAAGAAAGAAAAAAAAAAGCCGCCAAAACAAAGAGATAACCAACAGAATGGTAGAAGATACTTGCACACTATACATTGAATAAGGGACTGATATCAGATCAAGCTTACAGAACTCAACAGAAATAAAGAAAACAACCTAGTCAAAAAAAAAAAAAGTGGGGGGGGGGGACAGAAGACCTAAAAAGACACTTCTCCTAAAAAGAAATGCAAAGAGGCATATGAAAAAATATTCAGCATCATTTATTATCACTTATTACATCACTTATTGCAAATCAAAACCACAATGAGATGCCACCTTACACCTCTAAGACTGGCCCATATTAAAAAGTACATAAATAAAACAACAGAAACAACAAATGCTCTCAAGAATGTGGTTAAAAAAAAAAAAAAAGGGAACCCTCTTACACTGCTCATGGGAATGCAAAATGGTCCAGCCACTACAGAAAGATGTGTGGAGGTTCCTCAACCATTAAAAGTGGATCTACCATATGATCCAGCAATTTCACTCCTTGGAATCTACTCAAAGGACACAAAAACACTAATCTGAAAGGAAATCTTCACTTCTATGTTTACCACAGCACATTTCCAATTGTCAAAATTTGGAAACTACTTAAATGCCCAAAAAAAAAATGAACAGATCAAAAAGATGTGGTATATCTACACAATGGAATACTACTCAATGATCAAAAAAGATAAACTCATGCCAGTTGCAGAAACAAATGGGATGAAGAAAAAAGATAAAAATGGGATGATTTCACTTATATGTGGAATACTGAGAAACCAAAGGATCAGGAAAAAACACAAAACTTGCAAACTGACCATAGAACTGAGGCATAGAGTAAGCGACAAAAAAGTGCATAATACAGGCACACCTCAGAGGTATTACAGGTTCTTGCTTCCAGATTCACTATAATAAAGCAAACATCACAATAGAGTAACAAGAAGTTTGGGGATATGCTACACAGTAGCTTACTGTGTACAAGACAATTTTTCTTTAAAATATGTACAAGACAATTTTTCTTTAAAATATGTACATACGTACCCTCCCTGGTGACACAGCAGGTTGGAACACAGCACTGCTAAACGGGCCTAAGCTGGCCACAGCCACTTCAGTGAGAGTTAAATCCAGCCCTAGAGGTGGCAATCTCCTGACCCACCCGCTGGTTCTCCTCAGCAGTGTCCTTCACTGATCTGTCTGTTCCGCTCCCCACTCTGTCTGGTCAATTCTGTCACGGTCCCTGCACCTCTGGCCCAAACCCAGTTCTGTATGCATAAATAATATTTTTTTAAATGTACATAACTTATTTCTCAGCCCTGCCTGATGGCACAATAGGTTAAAGCACTACAAAGTTAACCACAGTCGCTTCAGCACAAGTTTGATCCCAGCCAGGCAGTGACCCATATGGCGCAGCAGGCTTCTCCTGTCTCACCCAGTGCTCTCCTCCGCAATGTGTTTCAGTGGATCTGCCTGTTCTGCTCCTCACTGTCTCTGGTGAATCCTTCACACCTCTGGCCTGTACCTCAGTTCTGTACGTATAAATGAACATATTTCTAAAAACATGAAGCACTGTTTCCCTGCAAACACTACAGAGATGGCACCCAAAACCACAACCCTGCCACCACCAGCAACGCCACCAGCCACCTGGAAAGGAGTCAAGCAGGGGCTCCACCGAGCCCATGGGCAAGAGGCGATAAGCAGAAGCTAGCTGATGACCCTCGTGATGTCTAGCAACAGAGGAATCTCCCTTCTCCTGAAACAACCTTTTCAAATGGGTAGAGACCATCCATGGAGAAACTGGCATGGTGTACAAAACACTGAGGTATCAGTTCTCCATGGAGTTCCCATACTACATGCCCACAGTGAAGTTCCTCACACCCTGTTACCATTCCAATGTGGACACCCAAGATAACATCTGCCTGAACATCCTCAGGGACTACTGACCCGCCCTCTACAACATCAGAACCATCCTGCTCTCTATCCTAAGCCTGCTGGGAGAACTCAACATCAACAGCCCTTTGAACACGTGTGCTGCCAAGCTCAGGAAAAATCCCACAGCCTTTAAGAAGCACCTGCAAGAAATTTACTCCAAGCAAGTTTCCAACCAAGAGCCCTACGAGAGGTTGTTCAGCTTCTCAGTGTATGTTGTCTCTTCCTTGGTTTTTCAAATGTCCTTTCTTGGTTTCTGGACAGGACTCCACCTCAAGCTGTGGTGTCATATTTGTTTTTAAAATTAAGTCTCTCCTGGAGCCCTTGTGATAAATATATCAAATAAATACATTTGGGGGATTGTGGGGCTATTTTTTTTAAGATTTACTTATTTATGCATACAAGAACTGGGGTACAGGCCAGAGGTGCAGAGGTGTGAGAGGATTCCCCAAGAGACAGAGTGGGGAACAGACCGAGCAGATCAACTAAAGTACACTGCTGAGGTGTGCAGTGGGCGAAACAGGAGGTCAGCTGTGGCATGTGGGTTGCCACCATGACTGGAGATTGAACTCGTGCTGCAGTGTATGCTGATAACTTCATAGTGCTGCGTTTTAACCCCTTGCGCCATATAGGAGGCCTCTGTTTTGTTTTTGTTTTTTTTTTAAAGATTTATTTATTTGTGCATACAGAACTGGGGTACAGGCCAGAGGCTCAGGGGCGGTGAGAGGATTCACCAGAGACAGAGTGGGCAGCAGAACAGGCAGATTGACGAAGTACACTGCTGAGGGGAGCAGCGGGCGAGTCAGGAGAGGTCTGCCACGCCATGTGGTCACCTCCCGGGCAGGCGGGAATCGAACTCATGCGGAAGTGGCTTTAGCTTCTCAGTGCTGTGCTTTAACCCGCTGCGCCACCAGGGAGGGCCCTGTTTTGTTTTTTAAAGAAAAAAATAATATTATGCATCATCTGAGCCTTCAGGGAGTTATACTTTTTGTTGTTGTAAAGGGGTGTCGCCTCCATGATAATGGCTACTGACTGATTGGGAGAGTAGCTGCTGAAGGTTAGCGTGGCTGTGGCAATTTCTTAAGACAATAATAATCTGCATCAACTAACTCACAAAATGCTTCTCTGTAGTAGGAGATGATATTACTATTTTACATGTGGTAGAACTATCAACATTGAAGTCAGTCCTCTCAAACCCTTTATCAGCTTTTATGTACTACTTTAATCTTCACAGCATCTTCACAAGAAGCAGATCCCATCTCAAGAAACCACTTTTTTTTTAAATAATTATTTATTTATGCATACAGAACTGGGGTACAGGCCAAAGGTGCAGGAGTGGTGAGAGGATTCACCAGAGACTGTGAGAGGCAGAACTGGGAAACTGGCAAAATACACTGCTAAGAGGAGCAGCAGGTGAGACAGGAGAGGTCTGCTGCACCATGTGGGTCACCTCCCCAGCCTGGGGATGAAACTCATGTTGAATAGCTACTCAATTCTGCACATTAATCCACTGCACCACCAGGGAGGGCACTCAAGAAACCACTTTCTTTTAATAAACAATTTAATAAACAATTCAGTTGCTATCTAATTCTATCTTTCTTACTAACTCTATCATACCTGCAATTATTTCTTCCACTGGAGGCTTGAACCCTTAAAGTTATCTATGGGGGTTAGAATCAGTTTCTTCCAAATACCTGTTACCTCCTCCCATAAATCATGAATATTCTTAGAGCATCCAGTGATGAATCCTTTCCAGAAAGTTTTTCAAATCCCTTTGTCCAGATCCTTCAGAAGAATTACTCTGACAGCTATAACTTTACAAAATGTGCTTCTTCAATAAGACTTGAAACTCAAAATATGACTCCTTTCCTGCATAAAGGATGTTAACAGGTATGAAAACAACACACATTTCCAGAGTTGGTGAACTAGCAGTAATATTTTGAAAAGAATCTTTTCTTCTGCGCATTATGGCTCAACAGCAGACTTAAATTTTCAGTTAACCACGTTGTAGACACATGTGCTGTCATCCAGGCTATGCTGTTCCATTCACGGAAAATATACAGAAGAAAATTAGTATAATTCTTAAAATTTGAGTTCTAGGATTTCCAGAATAGTAAACAAAGTCACCAGCAGCTTTTATTTATTCGTCACAAAATGTATGAGTCTTGCTCTGAATTAGACTTGGACTTAGTGCTCTGCTATAACCCGCTGCACCACCATGGAGGTCCCCAATTAGAATTGGACTTAAAGTAATGTCATGGTTCATTTAATCTATCCAGACCACTAAAATTTTCTCCATATCAGCAATACAGTATTTATATTTCTTATCACTTGTGTGTTCATAGGAGTAGCATTTTTTTTTAATTCTTTCAGGAACTTTACCTTTGCATTCACAACTTGGCTAACTGTAAGAAGAGGCCTTAGCTTTCAGCCTATCTTAGTTTTCAACATGCCTTCCTCACTACACTTAATCATTTTTATTTTTTGTTTAAAGTTGAGAGGTGATTCTTCCTTCATTTGAACACTCAGAGGCCAATGCTGGAATTAATAGGCCTAATTTCAATACTGTTGAGCCTCAGGGGAAAATTCATAGCACCCCTAAAACATGTATTATTATAAATAACATCAAATATCAACAGAGCAAATATAATGAAGAAGTTTGATTCTTGTACATTTTTTTTTCCATCTCAATTGTAATCCCCGCAGGTTTCCCATCACCAAGTCACCGTGTGCCATCACCAGAAGTTTGATTCTTTACAGAAACATGGAGTAAATATGTATACATCCACACTGGAACTGAGTCCAGGAACTCTAAACAAAAGCCCAAAAAGTTTTACTCAATCTTAGAGTCAACTCATTTTCAACAAGGATGCCAAAATCTTTCAACAGGTAATGAACAGCCTGTTCAACATATGATACTGGGAAAACTGCATAGCCACATGTAGAAGAGTAAGACTGGACCTCAAACCACACAAATATTAACACAAAAGAGAACTTTCTTTAATTTCTAAGGACTAGAATTATAAAACTCTTAGAAGAAAATATAGGTATAAATCTTCACATGCTTGAGTTAAATAATGGTTTCTTAGAAGCAACAGCAAAAGCATGGATATTCAAAAATAAAGAACTGTGCTTCAAAGGGTACAATTTCAAGAACATGAAAAAATAACCACAGAATGGGAAACATTTCTGCAAACCACATATCTGATCAGGAACTTGAACAAAGAATATTATTTTTTTAACTCATAAATCAAAAATAAGGTAAAAACACCATTAAAACCAGTGTAAGGGGGCCCTCCCTGGTGGCATGAGGGCTTAGAACATAGCACTATGAGGCTGACAGCAGCCACTGCAGCACGGGTTCCATCCCCAGCCAGGGAGGTGACCCACATGGCATGGCACCCTCTTCTATCCCACTTGCTGCTTCCCTCAGCAATGTATTGCAGTTGATCTGCCTGTTCTGTTCCCCACTACCTGTGGTGAATCCTCTCATCCCCACATACCTGGCCTGTACCCCAGTTCTTGTATGCATAAATAAATAATCTTAAAAAAAAAAAAATAGACCCTCCCTGGTGGTTCAATGAGTTAGGATGCAGCAATGTAGCAGTGCAAGCTAGCCACAGCCCCAGCCCCTTCAGTGCGATTTTGATCCCCGGCCCCAGAGGTGATCCACATGGAGCAAGACCTCTCCTGTCTCACCCACTGCTCCCCTCAGCAGTATACTTCGTTGATCTGCCTGTTCTGCTCCCCACTCTCTCTGATGAATCCTCTTTCCACCCCTGCACCTCAGGCCAGTTCTGTATACCCCAGTTCTGTACACATAAATACCATCTTTAAAAAAAAAAAAAAGTGAAAGGATCCAAGTACATGTTTTTCCAAAGATTTTCTAAATCTAGACAAATCAGCACATGGAAATATGCTCAATATCATTATCATCAGGGAAATACAAACTAATATCACAATGAGATATCCTTTCATACCCTTCAGAATGACAATCAAAAATGATACATAGTAACAACTATAGGCAAATACCTGGAAAAAATGAATTTTCATATACTGCTGATGGATATGTATAACAGTGACTCCTCTTTGAAAAACAAAATCTATCAGTTCCTGGGCCCTCCCTGGTGGTACAACGGGTTAAGACACAGTTCTGCAAAGCCTCTGCAGCCTGTTTCAGAGCGAGTTCAATCCCCACCCAGCCAGGGAGATGACCCACATGGCACAGCAGACCTCTCGTATCTCATCCACTGCTCCTCTCGGCAGTGTACTTCATCAGACTGCCTGTTCTGCAATCCAGTCTGTCTCTGGTGAATCCTCTAACCACCCTTGTACTTCTGGACTGTACCCCAGTTCTATATGCATAAATAAATAATTCAAAAAAAAAACTATCAGTTCCTCAATATGCTAAAATCTAGGGACTTTTGGGATGGTGCAGGGGGTAAATCAGCGCTATCATGTGCTATAGCATGAGTTCGATCCCCTCCCTGGCCGCCAGGAAGCTAACCCACATATGGTGGAAGCAGACCTCGTCTATCTTGGCCGCTGCTCCTCTTAGCATTGTATTTCAGATAAATGTTCTACACCCCAACTCTGTCTTTGGTGAATCTTCTCTTACACATACACACACACACCCCTGCACCTCTGGTTTATATCCCAGTTCTATGCAAAAAAGAAAAAATGTTAAGGTTACAGTTACCACAATCAGCAATTCCACTGTTAGTAATCAAGAGAAACACAGATTCACACAAAAACTTGACCCCATGTTCATTTTTTTGAAGATTTATTTTATTTATTTATGCACAGAAAAACTGGGGTGGGGCCAGAGGAGTGGGGGTGTAAGAGGACTCACCAGACTGAGTAGACAGCAGAACAGGCAGGCAGACTGAAATACACCACTCAGGAGAGCAGAAGGTGAGAAAGGAGAGTTCTGCTACACCATGTGGATTAGCTTCCTCACCAGGGATTGAACTCATGCAGTGGCTGTGGATAGCTTGATAGCTTTGACACTAACCCTTGCACCAGTAGAGAGGTCCACCACCATGTTCATTATTTATGAAAACCCAAATGTACAAACTGATAAGTAAAAAGCAGTATGGTCATGCAATGCAATCTCACAAAAGACGGAATGAAGTACTGCCAATGCAACAACATGAAGATTGAAAACATCATACTAAGTAAAGAAGCCAGCATCAAAATAGTGCAGATTATATGATCCCATTCGTATGTCTCTGTATTTATAAAGACAGAAAGTAAATTAGTGGATGCTCAGTGCTGAAGGAGATTAGACACTGATGGTTTAGGGTATGGTATTCTTTTTGGAGTTTTAAAACTGACTGTTGTGATGGTTACACAACTGTAAAAATACTAAAAGCCACTTAAGGCCTCCCTGATGGCACAACGGGTTAAGTCACAGTACTCTGAGGCTATCCACAGTCACTGTAGCACAAATTCAATCCCCAGCCAGGGAGGTGACCCACATGGCGCAGCTGATCTTTCCTGTCTCACCCGCTACTCCCCTTCAACAGTGTATTTAGTATCTTTAACAGTGTATTGTATCTTTAAAACAATTTAAAAAAAGGCCATCCCTGGTGGCACAGCAGGTTGGAGCGCTTCACTGTGAAGCTAAGCCAAGCTGTGGCCACTTCAGTGCAAGTTCGATCCCTGCCATGGAGGTGATCCACATGGCGTGGCAGACCTCTCCTGTCTTGCTCACTGTTCCCCTTACCAGTGTACTCTGTCAATCTGCCTATTCTACTCCCCACTCTGTTTCCGGTAAATCCTCTTGCCGCCTCTGCACCTGTGGCCTATACCCTGTTTCTGTATGCATAAATAAAGAAATTTTTTTAAAAATAAATAAAATAAAAGTCACTGAAGTACAATTTAGTGGTTGAAATTATGGTATGAGATTTCAATAAAGCTATTTTTAAAAAGATACTAAGCAAGAAGAGGCAGAAGGGACTCCTCTGTAGTACTGGAAATGATCTATATTGTGATTTTTTTTAAGATTTTACTTATTTATGCATACCAGAACCCAAGTACAGGCTAGAGGTGCGGGGGTGAGAGGATTCACCAAAGAGAATGGGAAACAGAACAGGCAGGCTGACTGAAGTACAATGCTGAGGGACAGTAGAGGTCCACCATGTGGGTCACTTCCCTGGCTGGCTACAGACGGCTTCATAGTGCTATGCTTTAACCTGTTGTGCCAAAGGGGAGGGCCCACATTTTGATTTTTATTTAGGAGGCATTTACATGGATGTACACATGGAGCAGGAGTTAAGATTGGCTCACTGCACTGTAAAAGATATCTTTAAAAAAAGTTTAAATAAACATTTGAGTGAATATTTTAATTACTCTTCATAAAAATCTAAGAAGTACATATAATAATTATGAAGAAACATGTTTTCTCATGGTCACAAGGCAGACATTGCACTTTATTTCTCAACTCCAAAATAATACACAACATTCTACAACTTACTCTTTACACCTCTTCTAATTAGAAATGACATCTGATGTATAGTATGTACATATAAAAATGTATAGAATGTACATATAAAAATAAGGTACATATATATACTGGATGCTATATAAAGACAAAAATAAAATTATTGTAAGTTGAAAAAGCTATAGGGAAGACAGTAAGACTTAAGGTGATCCTGAGTCTAAGAGAATAGCATGAGTAAGACTTGGGAAAACATATGGAATAGTTTCTACCTTATTAAATATTTTCTGTACCCTAGAGTTATTCACACCAAAACTGATAGCAAGGGTAGCTATACCACCATGTTTATAAAAATATATAAATAAAATCCCTTTTCCCTGGCACAGAACCACCTGTAGCTCCAAGTGGTTTTCAAAGAATCACAGCAGAGAAAGCATCAGTAAGAAGACATTAAATAGAAACACCCAGTAGACAAATTCAAAATTCTGGTGCTTTCTGAGATTTAGCCACATTTTTCCCCTAGTAACTCTGCAAGTTAAAACAACAGTCCCTATTCAGCCCACTAAGATAAGCAAAACAGCATACAGTTCAACTACTATTAGTTTAAGTTGCTATACTTCAAAATTAAGAACTCACTAAAATAATGGTATATCTCCACTAAAGCTTTCTTAGAGTCTCTCCACTAAAAGGAACAGTCTGGGTGCCAACAATCTTTTAATCATGACAGTTCAGAACAAAATGTCTCTAAAAGTATGTACAAGCACAAAAGGTGACCCAATAATGAGACTTGTTATTTCTTTCACAGGTAACATTTTTTGGTAGTGCCCTTAGACATCTCCAGTTTGGTATATTACTTACTATTTTCTTTCAGCACATCCATCACCTTGATTTGTCTGAAGAACAATCACTGACAAGATAATTTAAAATCTTGACATAATACCTACCAAACTGTCAAAATTTTTCTGAATGCTTTGGGGGCATAGAAATCTTAACAATGCTTTAAAAATGACTGATTCTTACTTATTCAAGAAATTTGGTACAATACTCCTTATCAACTGAGTACATAAATGATCATTTCAATTCTGTAGAAGAGCTTGTAAATTAAATACGTGCACATGCACAAGCACACACAAAAACTGAATATTTCCCAATCTATACAGTCTCAGGTTATGATAAGTGTGTAATAAAAGAGTCCAAACACACCTTAATAATAATGATAGGGGCCTCTGGTACAGGGGTTGAGTCTCAGCGCTATCAAGCCATCACTCCCCACTGTGGCATGCAAACCTCTCCTATCTTACCCTGTGCTCCCCACTCTGTCTCTGGTGAATACTCCCTCACACACACCCCCACCTCTGGCCCACACCCATTTCTTCTATGCATAAATAGAAATAAACCTTTTAATAATTATTGTATTGTATTTATTGAGAGTCGAAGGTACATCACTGTTCTAGGTTCTTCACATGCTTTAGAAGTTATTTCTCCCATTATGTGGTATTACTATTTTACACTACTTTTATCATGATTCTACAAGATTTTCTCTCCATTTTGGTATACTGTTTTTATCACGATTTTACACATCAGAACAACAAACAGATGCTAAGTCAGTAACAGGCTATCATTGGAAATGAAGCTCAAATGTGTCTCATTCCAAAAAAAAAAAAAAAGTCTTTGATTCAAATACAATGCACTGCCTCCTAGACAGGAAAAACTAAAACTTTCATTTTCACCTAGGGGTTACTTGTATCTCATACTTACAAATAAATGCAGGGCCACCTGGATTCAAAACCAGTTCTACCCCTTATGTGTCTAGATTCTTAGTTACCTCAGCTATAAACTGAGGGGGACAATGGCACTCCTAAGATTATCGTGATGATTAAATCAACGCTTAAAAAACTGTCACCAGGAAAAAAAAAACTGTCACCCGAAAGAGGGGAAACACAGCTGTTCCGTTGGAGGGACAAATACGGATTCCCAAGGAAAATCTTATTTTTTTCCTGCGTAAATAACTAGTGCAAGCAAGGACTACTCCCCAGTAAAGCAACAGCCAGGCACAGGGGCCAGTACTGCAGCCTTAGTCTGGGAAGACCCCGGCAGCGGGTCACGCGCAGAAAGACGGCGGGTCAAAGCTTCCGTCTGTCCGGGGCACTGGAACGTTCAGTGCCAGGAACACGCCCTCGAGGAACAGGGACCAGGGACTTCAGTGTCCAGCATGAAGTCGCGAAGGGGTTCCCAGAGGATGAAGGCCGCATCCCCGCGGTGAGTGAAGCCGGCCGGCACCAGAGGGAGGAAGCTAACCAGGCGTTCCAAGCCGCCCACCGGGCGTCCGGGGGCCACCCCCGGCGTCCCGGGAGCTCACTCAGGCATCCCGGAGGGCCCACTCTGGGGCCCTGGGGGCTACCCCTGGCATCTGGAAGCGGCCACCCGCCGTCCGTCTTCCCGAAGGTTAACCCTGGACCGCAGGCGCCCCTCGTCGTCTGCAAGACGACCCCTACCGAGCGGAGGCGTCTCCCGATCGTCCCAGAACGACGCCGGCGCCCTGAAGCGCCCACCCGCCGTCCGGAGGACTGCCCCAGGAGACCGGAGGCGCCCACCCGCCGTCGCGAAGACTATCCCGCTTCCCCAGGCCCACCCCGGCCTCGGGCGGCGCCCACCTCAGCGTCCGGGGAGGATCGTCCCGGGGGGATCCTCCGGCTGAGGAGCCGGCCGAGGCCCCGGTGCGGGCGGGGAGATGGCGGAGGGCCGGCCCGCGGTGCCGGAGGCGGCCGGTACTCACCGAGCCTCGGGCGCGCCGGCCGTCGAGCCCCTCCTCCCGGGGCTGGGGTCCTGGGCTTCCGCGGCACGTCGGGAGCGGGGCGGGCGCGCGCGAAGCTAAGCAACGCGCACCGCGGGCGAGCGCAGGCGCGGGCGGCCCCAGACAAGACGGAACCAACTCGCGCCGCAGGGGGAAGCCGGCGCGAGGACGTACCAACTGTGCGAGGGGGTGCCCACGAGCCCGAGGGCCACGTGACCTGCGAGTGTGCTTCGCCATTCCGTTTGCAAACAGTTGAAGGGAAACCAAAGAGGTCGACAGGAACCCTGAGCCAGTCAGTCAGTCTTCTCTGCAAGTCAAAACTCCTCCAAGCCGAAGTGAATTATACTAAAATCATCTGTTCATGTGATGGTTCTTGAGAAAACCTTCATCTGGAGCGTGAATGTTAAAGTCTACTCCTTTCGGGATGGGGAGGGAGCGAAACGGAACACTTAGAAAGTCGGGTGGCAGAGTAAAATTAGAACAGCTGCTTTTGAGGACAGTTCCATGAGGTGAATATTTTTTTTTAAAGATTATTTATGCAGGGCCCTCCCTGGTGGTGCAGCGGGTTAAAGCACAGCACTGAGAATCTAAAGCCACTTCTAAATGAGTTCGATTCCCGCCTGCCCCGGAGGTGACCACATGGCGAGCCAGACCTCTCCTGACCCGCCCGCTGCTCCCCTCAGCAGTGTACTTCGTCAATCTGCCTGTTCTGCTCCCCACTCTGTCTCTGGTGAAGCCTCTCACCTCCCCTGAGCCTCTGGCCTGTACCCCAGTTCTGTATGCACAAATAAATAAATCTTTAAAAAAAAAAAAAGGTTATTTATGCATACAGAACTGGGGTACAGGCCAGAGATGCAGGGGGGTGAGAGGCTTCATCAGAGACAGAGTGGGGAGCAGAACAGGCAGACTGACGAAGTACACTGCTAAGGGGAGTAGCGGGCGAGACAGGAGAAGTCTGCCGCCCTATGGAGCACTACCAGGACCAGAGATAGAACTCACACTGAAGTGGTTGTGGCCAGCTTTCAGTGCTGCGCTGTAACATGTTGCACCACCAGGGAGGGCCCCATGAAGTGAAAATTTAAATGTGCACTTTATGACAGAGCAATTTAACGTCTATAAAAAATACGGTAATGGCTATCGGTATGAACAAAAAGACATGTTCGAGGAAGCCTGCTTTCTTGAGAAAAATTTAAACATTAGAAATGCTCAATATTCGAGATTGATCCTCCCTGGTGGCACATTGGGTTAAAGCTCAGCACTAGAAAGCTGTTCCCAGCCACTGCAGCGTCAGTTCAATCTCCTGCCAGGAAGCTGACCCACATGGTGTGGTCTGACCTGCCAGCTGCTACCCTCAGCAGTGTATTTCAGTCAACCTATCTGCTTTGCTGCCCATTCTGTCTCTGGTGAATCCTCTCGACCCACACCTCTGACCTGTACCCCAGTTGTATGCATAAATAAATAAATCTTTTTGAAAAATGATAATAAGGCAAGGATGAATAAAACATGATATTTTAACAATATAATGTCCATAGAAAGGGGAGGTTCCAGGTTCCCTGCCCCATACGTTGAAGGATGGAGCTGACCCTTGAGGAGACACTCAAAAAACCTGGGAGAACGCTTAGGAGAGGACTTGGGGAGAATAAAAGAAGATTTGGAGGAGGTTCGCAGAGCAGACACATGTGAAGCCACACTTGCTTCTCCACTTTGGACTTGTACCAGGGATTTGAGGGACATGGAAGGAAACACAGAGCCCTGGATGAAATACCTGTGGGGAAACTAATAATGGCACCATTCACCTTGGCTTATATTTTGATTTTGCTTTTTTCCTTGGGGGGGTCAGGAGGAACTGAGGTCCAGGACTGTTGCAGGTGGTGCCCCTCCCTAGAAGGGTTGCAGGGAAGACAAACAGCCTCAGGGATAATGTTAAAAAGTAACAGGGACCTCCTTGGAGAAGAAATCGAGTGAGGAAAGAAGGGGCTAGTGAGAGAGAGTGAAAGAAGAAAAGTCCTTATTTGTCTGGGCTGTAGGGTTCCGAAGTAGTTGCTTCAGCATTTTGGGGCCCGTGGATTTGAGCCCCAGGACCTGGCTGATTTTGCAAAAGGCCACTGTGGATCTCTGAAGGTGGAGGCCGCCAGTGGCCAACATTGGGAGAGGAAGTAGCTTTGCAAGTAGCCAAAGGACTGAAAAGTTTCCTGGTTTTGCTGCGGATACAGCCTGGCTTAGCTGTGTGTGTGAGGCCTTTTGCCAGGTCATTTGGTGGCTGTGGCTGCTGTCCTGACTGTCGCTTGCCTGGTGCTGTGCTGAAGAGTCCTGCACCTCCGGGAGCATCTCCTGTTATGTCTTGTGTTGTCTGTGTGAGTTGTAACCTGGCCTGGAATCTGGCTGCCCCAGGTCGGCAGAGGCAGGAAGACAGAGACAGGAAGTCGCCATCTTGGACATGTGGCCTGTAGTTCGGGAGAGGAACTGCATATCCTCAGTGGGGGTAAGATGCCATCAAAATGGTCTTTGTGCAGGACAGTACTGGACATGACTTTGGCCATTATTGGCCTCAGTCACTCTTGTTTTTCCCATTTGTTAAATAAATGCCTTTGTTGTTGTTTTCTGAGTCTGAGCAGTCTTGCAATTATGCATGTCGGAGAAGAACCCAGACAATTTGTTAAAGTATTTGGGCAGTGGATCCTTGGCCAGTTTAGGGTCCCCTGCTACCCGGTATCATTTTCAGACTTGCCTGGCCCCTTCTATCCCTTTCTTATAGTTCTCTACCAGAAGGTGCCTTAGACTTGTGGCAAGCTTTTGGGCTTCAGTGGCCCCACTTTGGGGCAATGCTGGTTAGCTGGGCATTTACCCATGAGAGGTAACTTTGAGTACTTCATTTGGGAACTATATTCTTTCTCTTTCTCTATTACACTCTAATTCTAATAAAACTCTTTTCTATTAAAGGACTTATGCACTCTAAGAGTATGTTTATCTTTATGAGGCAGATGGCAGAACATGTTTAGAACATATAGGTTTGGGGATCCCAGGGTACCCCGCATTCTGCCCACTGGCAATATGTTCCTGCAATAAACTACTAAAAAAAAAAA